AACCAACACAGCCCCCCACACCCCAAACCACCCTGGCCCCACCCCCCCCCCCAAAAACCATCACCCGCAAAAAGGAACTCCTCGTCCCGTATCTCATCCTCCAGCGCCGCCAGCTTGTCGGCCTCGCGCTTGGCCAGGTACTCCTGCCGGCTGACGTCGCGCAGCATCGGCACCAGCGCGGCGCGGTCCTCCTCCGCCAGGCCGGCCGCGCGCCGCCTCTCGCGGTCCTTCTTGCTCTCACGCGGCTCCTCGTCCGCCAGCTTCTTGGTCTTGGCCTCGTCGCGCTCGCGCAGCCTTTTGGGGGGACGGGGACGTGCGCGGGGGTCGGGTCAGGCGCCAAGGTGCCTTGCGGGGTAACTAGGGTGGGATGGGGATGCCTCCGCATCCGCTCGAGTCCGCATGCACCTTGCAGGTTGCCCCGCAGGCCGCGGAGCAGGCGGCTCAAGAGGCCTGCACACCGCAGGTCCCAGATCCCTGCTGCCCCCCCCCCTCTCTCGTCCCTCCCGAAACGCAGGGCAGCACCACCGCCAGACGCCCCTGAACCCCTGATACCACCCGCGTAGCCCCACCTGGCCTCAAACTCCTCGCGCTCCCGCTGGTCAGCCTCAAGCTCCGCCTCGCGCCGCGCCGCCACCGCCCCCTCACCCTCATCGCGCCCCCCGCCCGCGCCGCCGCCCTCCTCGTCCTCCTCCCACCGCCGCTTGCTGCGTTTGCTGCTGCGAACCACCGTTGGGTCGTCGCCGCCGCGTGGGCCGCCGTCGCCGCCGCCGCCGTCACGATCGCCGTCATCAACTGCCGCCTTGCTGCGCCGCAGATGCTTCTCGCCGCGCGGCTTGCTGCCCTCGTCGGTCGGCCGCTGCGGCCGTCCAGACGCTGCTGCATCCGCCTGCTGCTGCTGCTGTTGCTGCTGCTCCTGCTGCTGTTGCTGCTGCTTCAGCTGCCGCCGCCGCTCCTCCTCCGCATCGTCCTCCTCATCCTCCAGCAGCCCGTAGCCGCGGCTCCGCTTCACCAGCGACCGCGCCTCCGCCGCCGCCTGCCGCGCCGCCGCGCTGCCGCCGCCGCCGGCCCCGCTGCTCGACGGCAGCCGGCTCAGCAGCTCGCCGCAGAATGCCGCGACGGCGGCGTTGTCGGGCAGGCCGGCGGCGGAGAGGTGGCGCCCCAGGGCGGGCGCGCTGCCCTTGACCTTTTTGGCCTGGGCCAGGATGAAGTCTGCGGTAGTGCGGTCGCTGAAGCCCACCAGCTCGTGCAGGCGGTCAGACACCCAAGAGCGCAGCTCGCGGTCTGACGCCATGGATGCCGCCGCGACACCACCTTTGCCGCCGTCGCCGCACGCAAGCTGCGCTGCGCTCGGCGGGGCCGGGCGTCCCCCTCACGCCTACCAGGCACCACAGCGCGTTGCACGCAGCGCAGCTGCGTAGTGCCACCTCTTTATGCTGCGTTGAGCACTCTCAAAGCCTCGAGCACAGGGGGCTATGTTTTGCGGCTGCAATTGCACGAAGGCTGCGCGCGCCCCCCAGCTTCGGCGCAGCACCAGCGCAATGCAAGTAGGTGCTCTTGCTGATGCACGAGCTGGTGCCGGGCAAACAGGCAGGAGCCCCGTTTAGGCCAAGTGGTGCATGGTCATGTCAATGATCATCTACCAGATCACTTATTCTCTACAGAAGCAGTCACTAGGGACCGATCTCACTTGACAGATCGCTGTCAGAAGAGAAGTGAGGCCGTTATTGACCTGTAACAAGCTCCTTTGATAATTGGATGCAGCGCATGCCCCCAGCTGGTGTGTAAGGTAGTGGTTGCGTCGACGTTGAGGTCCGACGCTCCGGTACCCACTGCACCGTCGTGCCCGAGATAGCGATTCGCGCGGCTCAAGCCGTCCTTTCGGTGTCGCAGCGGCACACCATTAATCTGCCGCTAAAGGCACGCGGGTTGTGATAGCGTGGCGGCAGGCACGCTCAATATTCAAGATGGCTCTCTCGAACCGCACCAATGCTGGTGCTATGCAGACCGGGAAGCAGGCACAGATTCACAGGGCTGCTGCGCTGCGCGTGAGGCCCTTCAGTGGCCCCAGGCGCGTGGTCGCCAAGGCTGCAGAGGAGGAGGCCCCCGCAGCTGAGACCCCTCAGGCCGTCTTGGAGGAGGCCAGCTTCTCTTTCAACTATAACGAGTTGAGTATCGTGTGCAGAGGACGCCCATTGTGGCCCATCGACCGGTGTGGACAGTGCTCGTGCTGCTGTGGCTGCCGTGTGGGGCCAGCAATTTACGCCCTGGATCCTGCAGCCACATGCGTGGGTTGGAGGAGGTTATGGGCACGTTATTGGTCGCACTCGCACGCAGCCATTGCACCGCCACCGGCCGCCGCGCACTGTTGATGGCTGCACACCGTGCCGCAGCAGCGCAACGCCAGTCCTGGCAGCCACAGCCGTACCTGGGTTAACGTCCGACACGGATATCTGCTGATGGCTAACCTGACGTGCCTGGAGCTTAGCTCATTGAAGCCTGGGCCAAATGTGCAGCTGGTGTGTGGCGCAGCGGCGCTTGTGGCCCAGCCAACGCCTCACCCGCCTCGTTTGACCTGCCGCCGCGCCCGCTCGGGCCCCACCGCAACCCACCCTTCCCCAGGGCACGCCGCGGCAACTCATATGAGGCGTCTGACGTGCAGGCGGCCCTGGACTACTACAGCGGCGGCGCGGGCGACATGCCCTACGAGGCCGACTTTGCCGTGAACCGCTTTGGCACCGAGGACGCCGCCTTCTTCGACGACATCGACAACAACGAGGGCTACGCCGCCAGCGAGTACCTCTCCGTCGGTATCGAGGAGGCGGCCCCCAAGACCAAGCAGCGCGGCGCGCGCGACGAGGACGAGGCTTTCGAGGAGGCGGTGGAGGAGTTTGACCAGGAGCGCGCCGCCAGCGCCGCGTTTGAGGGCGTGGAGGTGCTGGATGAGGACCTGCTGGACGACGTCGACGCCGCGGACGCACCCTGGTCCTGGGACGCGGGCGTCGCCGCCGCCGCGCCAGCCGCCGCGGCGGGCGCTGGGGGCGACGCTGAGGAGGACTCCATCCTGGCCCAGCTGGCTGCGATCGACTTTGAGGCCCTGAAGGACGAGGACGTGGAGCAGCGCGAGCTGGCCAGCATGGTGGTTGACGCTCTGGGTGATGACCTGGACCTGGTGGCGCTGGCCGACAGCGAGGGCGAGGTGGCCGCGGGCCAGGAGCTCAGCCAGGTGGGTGGGTGGGCGGGTGGATAGGTTGAGGGGGCGTCTCCTTGGAGACACGGTTTGGTCGCGCGGCGAGGAGTTCTTGTTGGGGGTGGGTGACATAAGCAGCAGCTACACCAGGCAGAAGCGGCTGTCTCAGCGCTGCTGGCTGTGAGGCAGGACCTGTGCAGCAGTAGCAGCAGCAGTAGCATCAGGAATGGTATGCGACAGCCAGGACTTCGCAGCCAATGGGTTAATGAGGAGGCAGCCGGCGTGCACCTGATACCCACCCTCTGCGGACGCCCTGGGCCCCGGTGAGCTGACTAGACGGTATCCCAAACAGTGTGCGCCGCATTGCGCCGACCCTTGTGTCCCTCCATTTTGATTCACTCTACAATCAACAGGCCGAGGAGGCCCAGGTGGACGAGGTGCTGGCGCTGGACGCCGCCGAGCCCACCCCCGAGCTGGACCCGGCCGTCGCCGCCGCCCTGGCGGAGCTGGAGGGCGAGGAGCAGGCCGCGGCTGACGCGCCGCTGCCGGCCGCTGACGTGGAGGCCTACCTGGCCGCGCTGCGCGCCATCGACCCCGCGACCGCCGGCGGCAGCGCGGCCGCGCTCGGCGAGGACGTGCGCAAGGAGGCGGTCACCGTGCCCGAGGGCGAGGCGGCGCCGCTGCCCGACCTGTCGTACCCCGAGCTGCCCGCGGACGTGCTGGCCTCCGACGCGTCGCTGTTCCAGTCGGCGCTGGCTGCCGGCGACGACGCCGAGACTGACGCGGTGCTGGCGGCGTTCAGCGCTGAGCTGGCGGAGCTGGAGGCCATCCAGGTGGCCGACTACAACAAGTGAGCTCTCGGGGGGCAGGGGGAAACGTGGCTGCCTGGTGGCAGCCCTTGCATATCGCCTGTTTGGGGGCGTTTGCAGCTAGCTGGGTGCGGCGGAGGGACCGTCTGGAGCATGGTGGGGGTGCTCGCGGACTGGCAGATGGTGCAGCTGGCGGGCCCTGGAGGACGCGCTGGGGACCGTGGTGGCAGCGGGCAGGAGTCTGGGTTGAGGCATAAGCTGTGCTTCATTGCAGCGCACCTGGGGTGTGAGGCTCCTCAGCCCTCCACCCTCCTCCACTCACACCCCCACCCCCTCCACCCGCTTCTCACTTCCAGCCCCCTGGGCAGTGCCGCCATGTTCCCCGAGGAGGCTGACCTGGAGACCTACGAGTCCATCCTGGACGCCACCGCGGAGTACATGGCCGCCACCGGGGACGAGGTGGGCACGCCACCAGGGAGCAGAGGTCGGGGTTGGGCGAGATGGGCCGCGCTGGCGCCACACCCCTACTGTGCAGCGGCGGCGGTCACGGCTGCATCTCAACGTCACGGCTGCGAGCACAGCCCTGACATCTCACCCCGGTCCGTTTCACACGCTGCTCGACTCGCTCAACAACCAACCCGGTTTGCAACCCCCAGACCACTGGCGAGCTGTTTGAGGACGGCGCCGACGACGACGCGGCCATCAACCCCTACGACGACCTGGACGCGTCACTGGTGGCGCGCGGCCCCCTGGTGGAGCTGGAGGAGGACGACAGCAACTTCCAGGTGGGGGGATGCGGGGGGTGGGGGGCGCCCAGGGCTGGAGAGGAGTGGAGCGGACTAGGGGAGCAGGGGGGCCCGGACAGGGGACTGACGGGGTGGGCAATCTGGGGCGG